AAAATCCCAGAAACATAGTCTCATCCCTCTCTTTCACTTAGACAAAATAGAGATAACAATACGTCTTATACTGATGTCACCCCAGTGTAAAATCACGGCAAATGCAAAAATAACGTCCTTGCTTATCTGATGTTTACTTTCCAACTTGACCCTGACAGTAAGATAATGCTGACGTAATTTATCCAAGAAATTATTCATATAATGTTGAAATTTTTGAGTCGCAATGAACGAACATTTATTTCTCAAAAACTTATACTAATTTTATATGTTTGAAGCCTAATCTGAACGGATCTGGATGAAATTTGGCATAGACGTAGAACATAGTCGGAAGAACTCATAAGCTACTTACTTTTTTTTAACTCCACACGGACAGAGTCGTGGATGATAGCCAATATTTCATTAAAAGAAACTTGCGATGGTTTATAATAACATTTCTATGAAGTATACGAGGTGGAATTAATCGCACTAACACTCGAGGTCTGGTCAATTAAATTGCCAACACAATTTCCCAGACAAACGAGCGTGCAAAAAGCTGCGATGAGCACGCGATCAAGGCTTTGAAGAAAAACGCTGGTTCGCACGACCTTATTACCATAATGAGGTGATCAGAAATAGATAATTTAAAAGCTACCTGAAGAATTTAGACCTCATAACCATTTGTAGACTTAATATTATCTCTTTCCTTGAAAAAAACCTTTTAAAAATTATCATGTCGGCTCAAAAGTTTACGAGTCGCAGTATTGAACACAATTTTTATGTACGCGGCATGCCGACGTCCTTGGGCCGCCAAGATATTTGAAAAGCGTAATACTTGGGCAGTGCAACTACACATTTAACTGCGCAAAAATAGATTAACGTTACTCTATTATCGTATCTATAAAATTAGGTTTAATCTTGATATTATTTTAAGCAGAACAGACAACTGGTTCCGTGGTGTAGTGGTTATCACATCTGCTTTACACGCAGAAGGCCGCCAGTTCGATCCTGGCCGGAATCAACTTTTTTTTTTATTTAAATTTTACATATACGTACAGTATTAGTTAAGGATATTGGCGAGGTACATAATTTTAATTTTTACTCAAGGAAAAATAACTACAAATGCCTATTACAGGAAAATAATGTATTACCTACAATAATTTTTGTCATAACATGGACCCTATTGTTATAGTGATTTTTTTTAAATGTTGTTTTTATAATTTTATCTTAAATGTTGTCACCTCAATACTTGATAGTACTTTTGACGCACATCTGTTGTAAATTAAGTTCTTACGTCTTCAACTATAACACTGGGACTAGATTAAACTTGTATAAGAGTATAAAAGTCGCGAGATTATTTATCTTACCATAGTTAATAAGGCCAATTAAAGCTGCAATATTCTAGTAGTGATACGACCTTAAGGTAAACGTTCGCGTGACCAATGTGACCTCAAATGAACTGCTAATAGAAATAAATTAATGTACATATTTGAAGACAGATTTTCCAAAATTTAATATTTCAGTATAAACAATGAATTCCGAGATATATAGATATGATGTCATACCAATTGGAGTCGTAATTACGAACATGTAGGTCAGAGGTTATTTATAAAGGAAAATGCTGTTTTTACATGCAAATTTTCTGATACATTAATATAATATATTCCTAAACATATTTCAACCATGGCTAACCATGAAAAACGAATTATTAATAACTTTTTAATTGGAAGTTTTAACTTTGTCCGTTACTTAAAGAAAATTATGTCAAGGGAAGTTAAAATGGATTAAAAATTCATAACATTTTGCAAGAAATAATCAACACCGTTGGTTTCAGGTTTACTCTATTTCTTCTGACTATGTCCTACAGACTGTTTAAAACGTTACATCTCAAAAAATATCGAAAATTTCAAAGAAACAAGTTCACAAAAAAACTTTATAATCAAGTTGTATTATACTAAGTCTTTAATGTATTAATAAACAACAATTTAATGTTTCTCATTTAATCTTAAAATTCAAGGTTATATTCATTATTTATAAAATTTAACTATTATGTGATGATTGTATATAAATAGTCAATAATCAAATTAAATTGATAAACAAGCTTTTTAAATCTGGAGATCTGATTAGTGTTTTTTCAAGACAAATTAACATACTTGCTGGCAAAACTAGTTGGAATTAAATTTAATTTCTTGATACAGACACACTGTACAGAAATTCAAGATCTCCGTGCTGTTATCCCACTTACATGGGCAGCATAGTTTTATAAAACTCTTTTTTTGCTTAATTTTATGGCTGGCCGCCTGCCTGACATATCTAATTTAAAAAATAAAGACAATGTATAGGAACTATCTTTGTTTAATTCAAAACAGAATAAGTGTTAGTAGTTGACCAGTAATTAACTCAGCCATAGACAAAAATTCAATGCAGTTCTTTTTTAATTCAAATTACCTCTTATCACCTGATAACACTATCAGGTAACTAGTTATCAAACTAAGGTTAGATAAGGTATTGCAAAATTAAACAAACTCCATCTAAATATTTCCAAGCTTTGTCAACATAAGAGAAATTAATTTATCATTATCCTCGAATCACGTAACAATTTTAAACACTTCACCATATAAGGAATGTCCACAGAGGTAATATTTAACGCAGACCTTAGAATGACCATAAATTACAATAAAAATAATGAGTCACCCATGTCTATTTTGAATATTTATACCGGTATAACATAAAAAAGTTTTGAGCAAGTAACTTTCAAAATATCTTATAAATTATCTTACTACAAAAACAATCATACATTTAGAAAATGTTGAAGATTACTTGCCTTGTCCAAACATTTTAGTTCCTCTGTAGGATATACTGTTTTCTCGCACCTTGCGCAAGTTTTATTCATCTTGAAATAATTTACACACAAAACACTTTATGAGAATTCCACAAATATTTCACCGAACAATAAAAGTTTATCACAATACACTAACAAAGTTTACAAAACTTTTATTTCATGAAAAAACACTCCCGAGCACGATTTTCGTAGCATCCCCCAACGCGCATGCCAAAAAATGACAAATGGCGGCGACCAATGTTGCCTTCTATTGCGTTAACAATTTAAATTACAAAAATCTGTAAGTGGTACAAATTAAAAATAAGCGTTGGCAGCATTAAGAATTTTACTTCGAAAAACCACCGTCTACACATAGGAAAAGAGGTCTAAATTAATTTAATAAAGTCTGATTTGTACGTGGTTAGGAACAAACACACTTCTGCTTTTGTAATACCGCTAAAGCTTCGTTAAACAATTGCTTCGAGTTTTGTATCATTTCTGTCAAATTCGTTATATCATCTCTCTTCTCCTCTTCTATCATCTTCAGTTTATCTTCCAACATTTTTAATTTTTCTTCTGTTAACTCTAATTTAAATTTTAATTCATCTTTATCCAAGCTTTCATAGGTAGTGGCATCCTCTGTTTCAATAGATGGACTTGAACTTGGTTTTTCATTAATTGTAGTGATTGAAGACTGCTTCTTTCCAATCGAAAAATGTCTTGCATCAGTTTGTTGGTCTTTAATAACTGACGATTTGGAACTTCTGGATGGCCTTCTAGAGTCCCGCATAATTTTTATTTCATCTTCTTGACTAGCTACTTTCTTTTCCAACCTTTTCTTTTTTTCTTTTAGCTTTCTATGAGTAGCTTCCAATTCATCCCATTTACGTCTTTCGGAATCCAGACGCTCGTTTAACGTGTTAACAAGTTCAGACAGTTTTTTAATTTCATTATCAGAGGCTAATTTCATAGGAGTGTAAAATATATTTTGCAAGGAACATTCCTCGTATTTAGCGAGCTGACCCCTTAGCTCTTCAATTTTTATTGATTTCTCTACTGCTTGTGTTTGTAATGCACCAATTTTTTCTTCAGAATTTTTCATTAGTTTATTGGATTCCTCCATATCATAATTCATCTTGTTTATTTTGTTTGTATTCTCTTTTAAAAGTTCTTGGTAATACAGTTCTAAAGATTTAATTTGATTCTAAAACAATAAATACGTTTTAGTGTTAGCCGCAATAAAGAAAAATGGGAACCTATAACTGTTTGCTATGAGAAAATTACTAAAAACAGTAGTCTTATCTAATCCTAGTACATACTTCAAAAAGCTTTAGCCGCAGCTGTATCGCTAAGACCTATCCTTAACGGAAATACTTACTCTTTGTTCATTTATTAACAAATCATCATGATTACTTTTTTCAACAAATGTTTGCATTTTTTGTCTCAGCGACAATGAGTCACATTCTAAATTTTTTACTCTGCATTTAGCACCATCCAATTTTTTTTTCAATTCCTGATTTTCTTCTTTTATGGATTGCAAATCTTTCATTGCGATGTCTACTTCCTTTTTTCTCTTCATTTCCAACTCCCTGATAATCTAAAAATATTGAGTGATTTAAAACCTTAAGATTGATCGTGTAAATAAAAAAAAAGTAAAAACTACCAACCTGACTCTGATCCTTTTTTTTGGCTTCAATCAAATCTTTATGTTTACCGTTCAACTTTTCCTCCAAATCGTTAATTCTCGCTTGCAAACATACTATTTGCTGAGCTCTGCCCTTCCAACCTGCTAAATCGCGCTGTAATTCTTTGATGCTACTAAATTTATCACCTAGTTCTTGTTGCAGGATTTTTGTTGCGATTAAAATATCATTTTTTAGTTCTAAATTTTTGTTTTTACTATCAAACAATTTTTTATTAACTGCTGCAAGTTTATTGTTAAGTTCTTGTAGCTCATCGAAGTTTGCATCAGTTGTATCGTCTTTACATGCACAAATATCTAATTTCTCGTTTTCTTTATTTATCAAATCCAGTTGCATTATTTTCCGTTCCAACGCACCGTTCTTAGTTTTATAGCCTTCTAGTTCAGCAATCAAATGTCTATTTTGTTTGCACAAATCAGTTATTTTGGCACTTATTATACCTGCAGATTTAGAAGATATAGCAGGCCCAGTGCCAGAAATTATATCACGTATTCTCTGATTTAGATCGGTTACTGTTTTATTTAGTTCTTTTACTTCTTCGTCTCTTGTGAAGATTAACTTTCGCAACTCGTTATTCTCACAAGTCATTACCTAAAATTAAAACACTACTAATGATGTAACATCTAACTACGACCTTTTTATTTATATTAGGTTTTGTAGACCTGCATTAGGATATATTAATAGTTACAAAAATCTCGCCGTTACTATTACATAGTAAAAAAAGTAAAACTACATTCCAGGTTCAACTGTTACATTTGGAGTACCTTCAACTGCTCAATTAAATGAGCATTCAGTTCTGGTGGATACAGAACGTCCTCAGGCTCTGGGTGGTCCAAGGCCGCTAACATTTTTAATTTCATTTCATCAGTAACGTCTATTTTTTCTGCCAAATCAGCGAGTTTCTCGTCTTTTAAATTATGCTTTTTAACCGAAGTCATTGTAATTATAAATTAACTATTTATGTAATAAATAACATAAACAACATCTCGCGTTACGTTTAAACGTCAATTTTTATTCGAAAGTTTTACAGATTTTTTTCTTTTGTAAAACAAGAGAATAGGACCTTATAAGACTGAATTGCTTATAAAAGGTATCGAAGGTATTCTTGCAGTCTTTTTAGTTTGATAATTTTTAAAAAGTATCAGTTAACCAAACCAAAAACGTTTGCATGAAGAACTGAAACTCACGCAGAAGCAAACGCAGAGCTCTAAAGAGAGATTGAAGAGCAACAGTGCATACAAGAATTTTTGTGTTCATGTGCTGAGAAAAAACCTAAACAACATTTTTTCCCACAAATGGTAACTTTTAGTTGTTATTCTAGCAACACTTAAATTGTGAGTGTCACTCATGTGTCACTTGTCATCTGTTCATTGATTAATTTGTTATCAATAGCGTAGTGCATAATATAAATTATTTTTCTGCGTTAATACTTCTTACAACATTTATGTACGAATGGAAATACATTAAGATCCTCAAGTTTTAAATTGTATCAAGATTTTTCCAAAGTCTAAGTGTTCTATTAATAGGTTTGTATCAAATTATTGCCCTTGTATCCTGTTTTAATTTAATTCTTTATTATATTATGTTTGCATCGTTACATAAAAAGTGTAACCGTTAATAAAATACAAACAGCGTATAAAACGCCACTCAATAAAGCTTAACTTAAGGACCAGCTGATTTATACGTAATTATTTTCAGCTAAGAATGCCCGGGACGAATCTTATCGTGCCCGTTGTGTTGTGGGGTAAAAATGCGCCATCGCATTGCGTATCTTCGGTCTATTTATCTAGGGATCAGAAAACTCTAGTTACAGGATGTTACGATGGTCAGATTTGTATTTGGCAAGTAAATCCTGATACATTGCAAATGACTCCCCGATGTCTCCTTGTGGGGCATACTGCTCCTGTCACTTGTTTATCCAGGGCTTCAATAATTCAGGTATGTCTCTTATATATTATCTATGCTAATATTTTACAAAGGAGAGATTTATGTTTTTGTATGTGTTGCAATAATTTTATAACTAAGGAGCCAATTTCAATAACACTTTCACCATTAAAAAGCTATGTTATCATTGAGTAACATAATCTATGTTTTTTATTCTTTTTTTTAATTTCATGCAGATGTAGTCAACAGCAATTATCCTATAAAAATAATACACTTTACAATCTTTGTATGTTTGATTTGTACCAATATGTACTAATTATAAAAATGGAAAGATTTGAGTTTTTCTATGCATTGGATTGGCTTGAAAGTTACTGAAACAATTTGCCTTTGCTAGTAAGAAGCTACATTGTCACTGGGTAATGTAGGCTATACTTTACATCAACGGGAAGGGTAACATACAACAGGAAAAATATTTCATATTCTATGCCACATAGTTAAAGCTGGGTAGCATAACCATTTTGGAATAATGATAATCATTTAAAGTATATTTTAGGATAATAACTACATTGTGAGCTCATCTGAAGCTGGAGAAATGTGTACTTGGGACCTGGTTGATGGGAAATGTAGGGAGAGTGTTAAATTAACACAAATCCACACAAATATTCAGGTGAGCATGTATGATAATGAAGGTGGGAAAAATATTGTAGACAATATTTAGCAAAGTATTATTATTTAATGTTATTTACATATATAAATTAAGGTTATTATTTTATATGTTTAATATAGAAAATTGATATACCATTCTTCACTCTTTAAGGTTTTAAGTATTTGCAAAGGAAAATATGAGTGTTTTTCTTTTTTTTAAAACATAAGGTGGCAAACGAGCAACCGGCCACCTGAATCCGCCAAAATGGCGAAGCTACCGCTGCCCATAGACATCCACAATTGCAGATGCGTTGCCTACCATTATTCGACGGAGGAGACGCACATAAAGAGGATGCTTTCCTATGCATCTCCTCCACCGTCAAAGCCACTTGACCTTCCCATCCTCTTCTTAAAAGAAAAGGGTGGCAAGAGAAAGGGACTTAAATGAGGACTAAAGGGACTTAGTATATAATGTCTTAGCCAATTATATAATGTTTTATTTTATACAGGCCTATCATATGTGCAACAGCGAGGATTTACGTCTCTTCTGCAATGGATATTACGCAGAGATTCTTATTATGGATCCATTCTCATTGGAGATATTATTTTCATTGAGTTCCAAGATGAATCCTGATTGGATTTCAGCTTTACATGTGAGTAAAAGTTATGTTAAATCAAATTAAATCATTTAAACTTTCGTGAAACTGGTCGGTGCCATCACCGGAAAAAGTATGACGAGAATAAGCCGTAAATTAATTAATTATATGTTAAATTAATTTGTATTTAACGTTATTAAAATAATATTGAATTAAATCTGACATTTAAAATAAGACAGAAATGTATAATGCATTTATTGTTGCAGGTGTTACGACCTTCTTCAAGGAAAGATGATGTGGTTTTAGCAATTTCTATCACTGGAACTGTAAAAGTAAGTGTATAATTAAAGTCATAATCTAATAAATGTTGTTAAAAATGGATTGATTTGAGTTTTTGTATGTAATAAATAAACTCAAAACCACTGGACCGATTTACAAAATTCTTTTGTCTTTACAAAGCTGTTATCACTGAGTAGCATAGGCTATATTTATTACTAGAGTTTTTAAATCTGTATGGACAGAATCGCGAGCATAAGCTAGTATTTATCCACAGGCAAGATCCTAACGATTTTTAATATAATTTTATACTTGTAGATATGTTCTGTTCTGTTCTAACTCATGTGTACTTTTAATTCTTTTTTTAGAATTCTAGTATGTGCACAGTTGGACTTATTTTGTTTTTTAATTATAATATTTCTCGTTTCCCAGGTTTGGTCTCTCCTTGGCCATGAGAATAAACAATCTGAACCGATCTACGAGAATGAATCTAAACAAATCCGCTGCCTGAATGCGTTGTCATTGAACTGCTGCGCGTACAACCAGCGTACTGTGCTCGTTGTTTGTGCTAAGTATTGCCAAATATATGACGCAGGTATTTTAAATGTTCACTTAAGGTGGCCTTGAGAGTAGTGATTTTCATTTTGTAATTTTAAATTATTAATATGATTTCAGGAGATTTTTCAGTTCTCTGCTCTATACAAGCTCCGGCAGGAGAGCGCTGGATGTCCGGGGACTTTTTAGCCACAGACCGTGTTCTTGTTTGGTCCACCGAGGGCAAGGGATACATGTATAAATTACCTGCTAAGTAAGTCATATTGGAATTTATGTTTTAGCTGTCTCTATTACTATAATACTATTGAAATATTTTAAGGGGTATTTCCACTAAATTTTAAAGGACAATTTATTAATGTAGACTTTAAAATTAATTTAAAATAATCTGTGACGTCACGTGCTAGATATTGGTTTTATGTAAGCTTAAATTTGGATGTTAATGAATTAATCTTGATTTATATAAGTTCATCATTAGAGTTTCATCAGAGCACATCGCCTGGTACATATTCTGTGTTGAATGTTTTTTACACATGGCAACAACTCATCACAGGTAATAAATCACAACATGTCAAATCATAGACTAAAAATATCTTTATGATTTTTAAGATGATGAAATATTATGAACACTACATTAACCAGGATATTCATATTATTGGAAAGTATGAATTAAATCACTTATTTCACTATTTAGAATTGAAATACATAAATACACACATTAAAATATCCTGGATTTTTTCTCAATGACACCGTAAAAACATGAATTTCGTTTTAAGAATTAGTTTCGAATATATCGACACTATACTCTTGCCTGCTGGCTAAATGCTAAAATGTCGAATTTCTTTTATAGCAAGCTACGTGGACGGGCCATACGTAGGTCAGCACCGATTGTTTTGTCATTTTGTATGTAATTGTTTTCGACGTAGTTCATTTTTGAGTTAAAATCCTTTGCCAGCACATTTTGGAGCTTATTGCATTTATATGTGGCATTTGGTGTTGCTAGTTAAAAAGTTTTATGTTTTTAAATAGGTCATCAAATGATTGTTTTTTTTTTTAATTGTAATATCATTAAAAATGTCATTATGTTTTAGAAGAAAATTCATAATTTAGTGTTAGTTATTTTTATAAATGTAGTTTTTTTTTTTATTTTAAATAGATTATTATACATTTAATTTGCTAACACAATCCATACTCGTTCATAATATTAAAGTGTTATCAATTTTATTTATTAATGTGTAACGTCAATAACTGAAGACTTGATCATTATAGAAAAAAATATTTTTAAATATTGTTTTATGGTAATTTATTAGGCCAGTTGTAAATAAAGTTACAAATATGCGTTTCAAATACTACTGAAAAATGCAGATATTTAAGACAATTTACAGGGTTAATATTTTCAGCTCTGTACCGGATCACAAAGGCTTTCACGGTCCTACCGTGGAACACGATAGTCCAGTATTATTTAGTATTTTGGCGCACCCTGATAATAAGGTATGGTTAGTTTTTTTTGCATTTATAAGCAAACTATAGTTTAATATGACCTTTATTATCGCTTTTATACAATTTACAATTAGACTATATCGGGTTACATCGTGTCGATTAGTATTTTAAATTCTATAGTTGGTAATGTCCTGCTCGAGGGACTAAACTAATTATTTTGTTTGGCTGTTACTTGAGTGCGAAGGAGCCAGCTGAAAAACAGCGCAGAAACGGCTTAGTCCGTCCTGCAGACGCTGAGCTGGCTACCTTTTGCCACAATTGTATTTTTTTCTTTTAATAAGTCCTTTTATGTAATTCCTTTTTTGTGGCAATAAATTCATATTTATTCATTCAAAACCGAAATAACGCATACTGTGCTTTTCTCAGCACTACTATATACTATCACTTATATTGTATACTCTATTCTATGGTTTAAGAATTGTTTTTTTTTTCAGTTGTTATCATGTCCCCCGGCGATGCGATTCGTGACGACATCAGTGGGTGGAAAACAACGAAGGCTGCTGCTCCGTGGTGATTCCGCTGGTGTCGTATCCCTATGGAATGTAGACCAGGCTGTCACGCCGGTCCTCAACCAGTTACCTTGTGAGTGTTCTTGATGAGTGGGTAAAGAGAGAACTAGTTTGTGTTATGCGTGAAAGCGTTTATCCATTTGTAATACTTTAAAATATTGTTGTTTATATTATCTGTTTGAATTTCAGCGCATGCCCCGATTGTAATGACAAGTTTAGATATGGCCTGGGAGGAAATGAACCCAAGCCCTGTCGGTATATTGGACCAATTGAGTCATCCAGATGAACAAGGTATGATATACTATGAACATTAAAAACATTTATGGACGAGACATATTTTTTCACCGGTACTTTCTCTGAAAGGTACTATATTGTTTGTCAAGTTTAGTGTCACCTCATTTCCTTTAATAAAACTTTTTACAAAATTATAATAACCACCTTTTGTTATAAAATAAACTGAATAGTGTTACAAAATTTAAACATTTAAACGTTATTTAATGACACCTATAGGTAATTAATTTAAATATAATTTTTATATAGCGTTACTGAAATTATGTGAAAAATGTATCAAGTGAAGTTGCAACTATGCCTCCTCTATATTTTTGTATCTCTGACTAGGAACTATGGGTTTTAAACCATTTTAAATTATGAAAACTATATCCCTACTTTTCTGTAAACCTTACTTTTTTAACATGTACTCGTAATTTTGTTTTCAGAAATAAAGTTAACAGCGTCCATTTATCTATTGGCTGCTAACCGTTTAGTGGTCGGCAGAGAGGATGGTTCCATAGTGATAGTAAATGCGACGCATACTGTGCAGTTGCAATTATTGCACGGCGGTCACCAGCAGTTGGATGGTGAGATAAATGCAGATATTAAAATAAAATTAGAGTGGACATTAATTATTTTTTTTAATACTAAAATATACTATATAAATATATATTTTATTTATGTTTATGTTGTGTGATATTTGATTTTAAATGTTTATTTTTCAGATTGGCCACCCCATCAGTTACTGTTGGGACATAATGGTCGAGTGAACTGTCTGTTATATCCACACCATATACATCACAGGTAACTAATTTTAATATTCAATTATTATTAACTAGCTGTAGCTCTCGACTTCGCCCGCGTGAAATAATTTTTTTATAAAACATAGCCGATGTTACTCACAGAAAAGTTACCTGTAAGAATTTTTTAAATCGGCCGAGTAGTTTTTGAGTTATTTCAATACATACAAAAATACAAATCTTTTCTTTTTGTAATATCAGTATAGATTAGTTGTTTATTTAAAAAAAAAATATATATTCAGCTAATGGCCGATTTCCCAACTGAATTTAACCATTCGATAGTTTCGATAACTTCACAAAATGCGTTTCCGAACTACGTAACTTTACTTTTACTCCATTGTTACTTAGAACCATGTAACACTAATAAATCAATACGTAATAATAAATGGAAACTTCATAAACGTACTATAAATTGTTTATACTTGTACAGATATTAATAGTGAATTTTATCTCCTATTTTTGTTTATTGAAATTTTTAAAACAAGGCGTAAGATTTTAAGAAAAGTATGTCTTTGTTGTTATCAGTTATGTTTATTTATGTTTGATGTAGATACGACCGGTCCCATTTAGTGTCAGGTGGTATAGACTTCGCGGTGTGCCTGTGGGACCTGTTCTCTGGCGCGCTGCTGCACCGCTTCTGTGTGCACGCCGGAGAGATCACCCAGCTCATAGTGCCGCCGCATAACTGCAGTGTAATATATCTATACTGATTTTTATTTAATTTAAATTATTAGGAGCGTCGGTGGCTCAGTGGTTTAAGCACTTGACTTGTAATACAGGACATGGGTTTGAATCCCGCTGTACCGATGTGATTTTCAATTTTTCACATGTACATAATTTACCCGACGTTCTTACGGTGAAGGAAAATATCATGATGCTTGCACACATTGGCGAGGAAATTCAAAGATATGTGTGAATTCAACCAACCCGTATTTGGCCAGCGTGGTTGACTATGGCCTAGTCACCCCTTATTAGAATAGGCTCCGAGCTCCTCGGTGGGGACGTATAGTGAGCTGGCCATAATAATGTCCATGAATGCAAGTGATCTCTGATTATTGAGTCTCAGCATTTGACTCATCGTAAAAAAATTGAGAGGTATTATATGTTTATGGACAGTTACAGCAGTGGAAACTTACGTTAATTTATGTTTCCAGACTCGAATACAGAAGTGCATCTGCTCCGTTGCCTCCGATCATAGCGTCACTCTACTCAGTAAGTACATTTTACATTTTTTACACTCGCTTTTGCCCGCGACTCCATCCGCGTAGAATTTATAAATATAGCCTTTGTTACTCACATATAAAGTACCTTTGTGATGCTCAAAGAATTTTTAAAATCGGCCCAGTAGTTTTTACGTGTATCAAATACATAGAAAAATACAAATCTTTCTAAATTTATCTATTTTCTATATATCTGTTAGGTCTGACGGAGCGTAAATGTGTGACCCTGGCGTCCCGTCACCTGTTCCCCGTGGTGAGCATCAAGTGGCGGCCGGCGGACGACTTCATGGTGGTGGGCTGCAGCGACGGCACTGTCTACGTCTGGCAGATGGAGACGGGACATCTGGACAGGGTACTACATGGTGAGTTGTACAGGGGAAAACTGGTGGATCTAGAGCAAACTCTAGAAATTAAAACATTTTAAAAAAGTAATTCGCGTTAATATTAATAATAATATAATAAACATATAATCAGCTCAAAAACACATTGCAACATAATACACTTGAACATAAAATACAAACGAGAAAAATAGACATTAACTATTTAAAATCAAAACTAATGACAAAAACAAATTGCCGAGAGAAAAAGAAACACTACACATATTAGACCTTCTAACCATGTGTTGCAATGCAGAACTGATAGGATATGTGAAGTGTCCGTATGTATAAATATGTTATTTATGTATGTATGAGCGGTTGCCCTGGACTGCGACAGCAGTGGACTGGATAGATTAAAAAAAAAGCTACAGTTAAAAGACTCAGCCGTTCCGAAGATTATCCGGAATAGAATAGATTACATGTTTATTGACATACAAAAAAAAATAATAGTTAAAATGTATCAAAAAGCGGTTAGGTTTTCCTGCCCTGGTTTTTAATTGGCCTCTTCGCTCTCACTATTTACACTTAATGGCCCTTCCATTAAGTGTAAATTGAAGACAAATGAAATGATTTTTTTATTACAAACAGACACTCCAATTTTAATACATGTTTAGATGTACAGTCGGGAAAACTTGCAGTGTTCTTAATAGCAACAATTTGTAACAAGACACAAAACAAAAACCAATGCAACGCAGCTTATTAAAAAAAACTCTGTTAATGATACGCGGCTAGTTTCTTTTTATTATTATCCCTTTTGCACCACTATCTAATTAGATGTTATTTATATTTATCTTTACATATTTTTCTCGTTTCATACAAGGCTATTTTTGCAAAACTGGAACACCGCAGATTTCCTCGATTGTACTTACTGACTTTATATGAATAATCTCTTTGTTGTTAGGTATGATAGCTGAGGAGGTACTGTCCGCGTGTGACGAGACAGTTGCTGACGACCTGGGCGGCTCGCTGGCGGCCGGCGCTGGAGACCTGCAGGGGCTGGCTAACCCTGCTGTGCACTTCTTCAGGTAGGTTACAGATAGTAAACGAAGTAGAAGTGAAGTGAAAGGAAGGGAAATGATATTTGTAGTGCATTGCTTTCTTCATTAATTATAATTAATATATTTGTGATTGTGGATGCATAGGCGATTGCTTCGCTATTAAGGCGACAATCATACTAATATTATAAATGCAAAAAATTTAGATGGATGGATGGATCTTTGCTAGAGTTTGTAGCCTTAACGGCTGAACGGATCTCGAAGAAATTAGGCATAGTCTGGAAGAACGCATACGCTACTTGCTTTTCTCTTTTTTAATTCTACGCGGAGTCGCGGGCGAAAGCTAATTAATTAATAATTTATCCGATGGTCCGAAGGTAAAGGAAAACATCATGATGCACATATCGGCGAAGAAATTCAAAGATATGTGTGAAGTCAACCCGTAGTGCAGCGTGGTTGACTGGCTACCTTTAGGGTAGATTCCGAGCCCCTCAGTGGAGATGTAGAGATGGTGATATGTGAAATTGTTTCTCGTAGGGGTCTCCGTCATCGCAACTTAACAGCGATGCGTGCGGCGACGGCGCGCGGGCTGGCGGCGCTGTCGGGCGCGCACGGCGCGGGCGGCGCGGGCCCGCTCGCGGAGCCAGCGCGCGCGCGCCGCGCACCGCTCACTGTGCAGGGATTCAGATCTAACCCTACAGGTATGGATAACATATTTATTTCTATATTAATAAACCGTAAACTGTCGTAAGATGTCAGCAATAACAACTTATTTTAGAATATTCTTTTTAATAAATAGCATTTACGACACGCTTAAGGTTAAACATAGGTCGTGAATAAATTACAATAGCATCAAAGGCAAGGTTGCCATGGTAACGGTAACTGTTAGTCAATGGCAAGAGTTCGTTGTCATTTGTGCATTTGAATTTTTATGCTTACAATAGATTTTCATGCGGATTATGCCGCACGGAAACAGCTAGTAACTCTAGTAACTTCTAGACTATGATGATTAGATATTTTACATATACCAAATTTTATTCAAAATCCGTTGTTGGAGAGAAGTAGTAACATCCATCTTAACTTTCGCATTTTATTGCTAGTTGTTATCAGCGATTTCGTACGCGCGGAATTAATAAAAAAACATAATAAGTAGCGTATGTGTTCGAGGCTATGTTCTACATCTGTGACAAATTTCATCGAGATCTGATAAGTCGTGTTAAAGTAACGACTTAACATCCATCCATCCAAACTGTCGCATTTCTTAGTATGTTTTTTTTCTAGATCCAGAGAGTCATATCCTGTTCTTTGACATCGAGGGTCTGATAGTGGAATTACTGAGTGAGGAATACTCCGCAATGAGTCCTGCAAGTTTAGAGGTAAAATCAATTTTTTATTAATTAAATCGTCATTTGTGTTTCTCTGTAGTAATTAAGTTTCTAAAAAAAGTTTGTTTTTTTTTTTTTTGATCCAGGCTGCTGGTTTGATAACCAGTGAATATATGAAAGTGGCGGCATTAACTCAATCCGCAAGTCCTGATGCTGCTAAACGTATTTCTGGTGAGTTTAGATATATACTGAATTTATTTCTTAACAGCTACATGTAAGTATGTGAATTAACTTTTTTGCAATTTTTGTATACGCTTACCGAAATGGATAGATTTCTTTGGACGTGTGAAAGACAAGGCAGGAGATATGGAACGTATCTTGAAAGAAAAGGACAAACATGGTTTGTATGACTTAACAAAAATACACAATTGATGTCAAATATGTTTAAATAATTAATTTTTTTTTTCAAATTATGAAGTCAATTCTGATAATAATCCCAAAATTTAGTCTAGAAGACTATTTTTAATTTCATTTCTTTGACAGTCAACGTCAGTTCAATTTTTTATGGCACTTCCTTAGCAAATTGCCAGTGTCAAATTTTTATGTTTTTATACTTATTTGAAAGACTGGCAACAATATTCTGCTTATTGAAAAGTTTTCGTGAGCTAGTGATCCAAAGATTAAAAATTCTTTATCTAAAATAGAACAAACAAAGACATTTAATTATGTTAGGTTAGTAAACAACTAATATTTTTGGTATTAAAATCATCTAAAATATTTACATACGGAGTATTTGCTAGGTCAAAAGGGACTTGAAGTTAGTAATACGAGGATTGTAGGATATCCATTAGGGATGAAGTTCTTGGACAGTTGAAAAAGTTTTCAGTCAAGGTCAGTCCAACGTTTTTGCATGTAACAGGTATTCTCGCTAAAATGAAGGAGGGAGCAGAAACTATGCAGACTAAGTTGCAGGCCAAAGCTGAACAGCTAAAGGGTGGTTCAGATCATAAAGGTAAGTGCTAACTTTTGTTGAGGAAAAAATTAGTACCGCGCTGTAGAATTGGCGCAACACTAGTTTATCTACATAAACGTCACATCTCTAACTGACAGCTGTCAATGTCATTAGAAGAATTGATTTTTGCGCGCATTCCTGACGAGATCTCTAGTGCAGTGTTTAAATTAATATCGCTAGTTACAATAATATTAATTGTTTAAAACTATAAAAATACAAAGTACATTTGTCGCCCCCTAGCGGATTAATTATACAACTTTTTATACGTATACGTACTACACGCGTGCGGTACAAGATACGTAAGATGTAGATGGCGTGCGTGTTTCGTATTGTGAGATTAGAGAACTATATAAAATGAGCTTGAGCCTAAAATTTTAATTAGGGAAATATTCCACTTCTATATTTATTATGAGAGATTTAGGGCCTGTCCAACTACTGGCTGATAGAGGTTCAGATAGCTTAAAATGACGAAACTGTCAGATAAGGAAACAAGAACCGATATTTCCATCACATATTTTACACGTTGGATTGGTATCATGGTACTAATGGACGTTTTAACGATAAGCAGATATAATTAGAATCTTATAAAATTGTACGGTTGATGACTTTTGTATGAAACAATTTGTTATATTTTCTGTTTATTACATCTATACTAATATTATAAAGAGGAAAGATTTGTATTTTTGTATGTATTGAAGTAACTCAAAAACTACCGGGCCGATTTTAAAAATTCTTTCACCATTAGAAAGGACATTTATCTGTGAGTAACAAAGGCTATATATTTTAATCACACGGGCGAAGTTTTTAGTTATATTTAGATGTTTTATGACTTAAGAAAATAAATGAGTCATTATTTCTACTTGTAACCTATTTAATGATCGCTTTATAGTTTAAATCCATATATAGGAGCAATCAAGCATTCACTTAAGGAATGTAAGGAATGCAATTTTACCGTCAATGTGAGCAGATTATCATAAATAGCTTTTTATAAAGTAACTAGCTGTTGCCGTGCGGCTTCATCCGCGTGAAATTTTTTTTATTGTTCACATTTGTCAAATTGTCAATTACAAATGTCACAATGACATGACATGATGACAAACCATAGCAACCTAAGCAAGGTTGTTGGCAGCAACTTATGGTCTCTTTCCCACATTAGGGTTTTAATCCAAAATATTTACCCCTAAGTTTAATGGCGTGAAAATATATAGCCTAAAGCGTAACGCAAGT